CTCAGTACCTTCGTGCTGGGAAGGCGCCCGTCCCTCTGGGCATGCACAGTGGCCCAGGGTCAGCAGGGAGAGCGAGCCCAGGCAGAAGTCCGGCCTCGGGCCGGGGAGCATCCGGCACCAGCACCTGGGAAGGCCCTGTGGAGGGGCCACAGAGACCCCGTGTGGCCATGCTTTCCTTGACCTCCCTCTGGGTACCTGGCCACCTCAGGACAACCTCAGTACGTCTTCTGGGCACCCAACACCAGCTTCCCCAGCTGTGAGGCCGCGCCAGTGAACGCATCGTGCGACCCCATGGTGAGGGGGTGGGGGTGAACGTGGAGGGGCACCTAAAGGGCTGAGGGCACCTTAGGGCCGAATGCCTCCTTGTGCAGGGGAAACCAAGGACTAGAGAGGACAGAGGCTCCCTCAAGGTCACACAACAGGCCCCGGCAGAGCCCGAAAGGGAGCCAGTCCGCTGACTCCCAAGCCAGGAGTCCTGCCCGAGCCGGGGAGGGCCACTGAGGCAGCGCCAGGCCGCAGGAAGCTGGATGCCAGGGTCCTGCCCTCCCCAGGACATTCCTCTGCTGGGCCACGAACGACCCCAGCCAGTCCGCTCTGTAAAGTGGAGCTAATTGTAACACCCTCATAATGCCCGGCACTCAGGGCCAGCCAGACCAGGCCATGACTTTGGGCACAGAAGTGCTTAGTACAAAGCCCTGCACCTGATTAGCGCTGATAGCGATGGGTTTTGTTTAGTCTTTTTATCTTCCTCCCTGGGAACACACTGCCCTAGGCCATAGGCAGGTGAGCCACCCTGCCCTGCCCTGCGGGGTCTGGGAGAGAAGCTGCCAGCCCCCCCTCACACACACACCCCGCCCCTGAGGTTCCCAAGGGGTGACCTGGACCTCTGGGAATTGACTGTCCTCAGAGCTTGCTCCCCACCAAGACCTACCTGCCAGGTTGGTCAACACACCACTTTGAGGACTCCCTGACCTTACTTTCCCTGACGCCGTCCAGGGGGCTTCTCTGAGACTCACTTCCTCTAAGGGCCCCTGAGCCAGATTCATTGACTTCCGTTCCCTCAGGGAGCTCCTAGGCGTGCCTGCTGGCCACCTGCTCTGAGCGGGACGGGCTCTGCCCACAGGCATTGGCCCCCACTCTAAAGGGGAGGGAGGTTTGCGCCCGTTTGCGAAGGACCCTATGTGCCAAGCTGTGCAAAGCCCCAGATAACTGTGCTTGCTTCAGCCGGCTCAGGACCTGGCCGTGGAGACGGACTCCACCCGCAGGCACACACATGGAAAGTGGTTCATTTTATTATAAAATGTCTGACGCACTCGGGCCCAGCAATTATCAAGGCTGTCACATTGGCTCTGAAGGGTTTTTATTTCTGTGCTTTTCACTTGCTGTTATGGAAATTTCTCAAACACGCTAAGTAGAGAATTCCCATACCCAGATCCCACACCTTCGACTTTCTCTTTTCATCCACCTCACCCAACCCCCACCCCTAAGTGCAAATATTTTTTTAGAGTTTAAGGGAAATTTGGACATCATACCATTTCACTTGTAAACACATCAGGATGGATCTCAACAGATAAGGACTTTTTAAAAATATATTTTTTATTGATTTCAGGGAGGAAGGGACAGGGAGAGAGAGATAGAAACATCAATGATGATGAGAGAATCATTCATCGGCTGCCTCCTGCAGGCCCCCTACTGGGGATCGAGCCTGCAACGCGGGCATGTGCCCTTGACAGAATCAAACCTGGGACCCTTCGGTCCGAGGGCCTATGCTCTGTCCATTGAGCCAAACCGGCCAGGGCAACAGGTAAGACTTTAAAAAGCATAGCCACGATAACCACCATCAAACCCAACAAGATTAACAATAATTCCTTAATGTCATCAGACACGTCTCCTCAATTTTGCTGGAAAGCATTTTGGTTGAAGTTGCAGAGGCTGCCCTGGGAGGGGACAGCTGGTCAAGGGCCTGGCCAGGCCTTGGCCCCAGGGCTCCCCGCACACTGTGGAGGCCTGGCCCGCACCACCGGGAGCTCCTGAGGGCTCCTGAGACTTGTGCTCACACAATAGGCGAGATCAACCCACTCGGGACCGGGGCGGGCGGTGAATCTCCCGGAGGGAGCCCTTCCCCAGCTGGGAGGCTGCTTCTTTCCACTCTGGGAGGGGCGGGCGCTGGCTGGGGACGGACCTGTCTGTGCTCCCCAGGCTCAGCCCACGAACTCCTCGTGCCCCGGACTGATGTGCGTCTTCCAGGGCTACTTGTCCACAGGCCCGGTGCAGCGATCTCTCTTCAACTTGCAAATCTACGGGGTCCTGGGGCTATTCTGGACCCTCAACTGGGTCCTGGCTCTGGGCCAGTGTGTCTTGGCTGGGGCCTTTGCCTCCTTCTACTGGGCCTTCCACAAGCCCCGGGATATCCCCACCTTTCCCCTGGGCGCTGCCTTCCTCCGCTGCAACGCGGGCATCTGGGGCCGGTCAGCCTGGGGCCGGTCAGCCTGGGCGGGGCGGGTTGGGAGCCTGGGAGTCCAGGGGTCCCGGCGGCCTCTGACTGCCTCCCCCCTGGGCAGTTACCACACCGGGTCGCTGGCCTTTGGGGCCCTCATCCTGACGCTGGTGCAGATAGCGCGGGTCATCTTGGAGTACATTGACCACAAGCTGAGAGGTGAGCAGAGGTCAGGGGCTGGGGAGGCCCGGCTGAGCAGCTGGGTCCCTGGGGAGGGGCTCTCAGGCCCTGTGTCCGGGTCCTGACACCCGAGTCGCTGGCCCCCAGTCGCCCAGAACCCCGTGGCCCGCTGCATCATGTGCTGCTTCAAGTGCTGCCTCTGGTGCCTGGAGAAGTTCATCAAGTTCCTGAACCGCAACGCGTACAT